AAAAAAAAAAAAAAAAAAAAAAAAAAAAAAAAAAAAAAAAAAAAAAAAAAAAAAAAAAAAAAGTTGTGTTGACTGAGAAAGCAGATGCATTTACAATTACAAATGTATAAAGCTGAAAGTACCTTCCATCTGCATAAAGACACCTCTCAAAAAAATAATTAAAAATAATAATAATAATAAAACTCACCTTACTTGAAATGCATGGGAGAATCGCCGGCGGATGGATCTGATCGTGAAAATCAGAGAGAGTTTGTCTAAAAATACCGAAGCTATCTTGTGAGTGGAACAAATCTGGCGGCGTTTGTAAGTTCAAATCTAAGGAATTTGAGAAGGGCGGCGGCGGAGGAGACGAGAGGTTCCAATCAGATACATTAATACTTGGGTAAATCTTGTTGAAGAATTCTCCAGGTTCAGTATGATCACCACCGTTGATCTGGGTTTTGATGAAGAGCTTGTGGCTGGGATCATTCAGATCGGAATCATTATTCTTGACGTGGTTTGTAGAAGGAAAAGGATGGAAATCTTGATTTGTAGAAGGACTGTTCAACATTTCTTCTTTGATCTTTCCACCAGCATGGAGAAAGTGAGAGAAGAAGCTCCCTGAAGAACTCGCACCATTCCATTGAAACCCCAAATCTTGAAGAAGCATTGAACTGTTCGTATTTTTCACCCCACAATCTGATCTTACTGGAACTGAAGAACTCAATCCATTGAATACTCTTGAGTTGTAGTTGCAAGTATTATTATTATTATTATTATTATTATTATTATTATTATTATTCCTGCCACAACACAACACCAAAATCTTCCAAATTACAAACCCTAATTTACTTCCATAATTATAGCAATCAAATGGGGTCTTGGGTATGTCCCAAATGTCTAAATTATTGATATTAAAAACCATATAAGTAAATCAATCCATACCCCTTAAACTTTAAAGCCGCCTCACCCAAATTAAATTGATAACATATAAGTAGCTTAACTGTAAAAACATCAGTAATTTTATTTTTGTAGAGAGAACTTACAAAGAGATATTGGGAGTCCAGCCATGGGTGCTTGGAAGGGAAAAGCAAGATGGAACGATGGGCGGAGAAGACGACGACGGTGACGACGAGGGAGGAGGAGGAACAAGAAGCTGGTCTTGAAGCTGGTGGAGGTTAGCCGTGGACTCCATAAACACAAGGAGTGAAGTTGATAAGTAATAAATATATGCTCTAACTACTGAGCCACATTCCCAGGTAACACAACCAAAGCATCATATTTTGCATTTTGACCCCTCACTTTTCTCCAAATTGCGTTTGTTTCCTCCAGACCTTACTAAAGTAGAGCCTTGAAAAGAAAGAAAGAAAGAAAGAAGGAAAGAAAGAAAGAAGAGAGCGTGGGGTTATTCATCCCCATACCCCTCTCACTCTCTTTAATTATTTATTCTTTTTCCCTCTCTTTCTTTCTTTATTTTTATTACGGCTTTTTCAAATATCATTAACAAACCCAGCTCCTTCCTTCGATCCCAAGGCTTTTCTAATCCATAACCTCTTTGCCAACTCAAATCATTAATCTCTATATTTAACTTAATTTAATTTAATTACACCACTAATCCCATATCCTAATTCCCTCTTGTATTTAAAAGAAATATAATTATTTTTTACTCATAAGAATTGTGGATAGCTGAAGATTGGGAATTATGTGGACATAATTTAATTATCCATAAAGGCAGCCTCGTGTCTGTAGAGAGTGTCCCATGGTCATGATTGTTAGTAGCATGCATTAAAAGTGGTTCTCTACCAGCAACCCTCCACCACGTGCAAAGTCTAGTGTTGAAGGCCCAAAATAAATATCTTAAAAATAAATAATAACCTTATATAACAACTCATCCAAACAAATTCTCATATAACCATATTTTTAACTTTGATTTGAGTAATTAAGATAAGGGTTAACTTTTTTTTATTTTTATAATTAAACATATGAAAAATATATATTCTTATAAATAAAGTTAAGCTTAGAATCGAGGTCCTTCCAAAACCGATGTTAGCAAGGGACCAACACTATCATTGGGCCAAAACCGACCCAAGTCTATTATGGCCAAGGGTCCAACCTAGGATAGACCATATCAATCCAAACTCGGTATAATACCAACATGCCTCCTAAACCCTAATCTCTACTAATAATGTTTGATTAATCTATCACACCTAAATGGTGTGAAAGTTATGATATAGAAATAATAATAAACGGAAATAACAATAAATGAAAAAATACCTATGATAATTGTCTTATAATAAAATATTAAATATGATATATATGGTAAACTATAATTTATTACTAAATATCCTTAACATCTACTCATGTAAATACGAGAGAGAGGAGAGAAAATTGGTTAAAAATCTTTATTAATATATACAAAATTATTAATATTTTTTATTTATATATATATATATATATACAAAGAAAGGTTGAGTTGGTGGGGGGTATGAGGGCCATGGACCAAATACCCTCTTCGGCTTCAAAACTTTGATTATGATGTTATGTCATTCCACCTAAGTGGGAAGCAGCATATTTGAGTACTTTCTATCCTCTAACAATATATTATTATATATATGCCATAAAATAAGCGATATATTATTTGTCTTTAATTTAATGTGTAACATATTGATAAAAATAAATGACTTCGAATTAAATTATTTGAATTTCAATAATTCATTTCAGCTATGTATGAATGAAAGTATTACCATATTACTCTCCTGAAAACAGACTCTACGGCATAATTTTCTTCAAAAAAAATTAATTGAACATAATAAGTAGTTGTCAATAATTTAAAAAAAAAAACATGAATAATTAAGAAATTTTTTTGACACAAAGAACAGGTGTAATGATTTATGCCTAGGATTTTGATCCGAATTCGATACATGATGGCTTCGACGTTCCCTTACATTTCCTATAACACGATCATGTTACCTTCTACTTGCTTCTAAAGAGTAAAGACTATTTACACAGACCAACACAAACATTCTAACATATTTTGTCTTTATTTACGTGCATCATATAAAAAATTCCAGAGAATTAATCTAGGAAAGATACACTTAACCGTGAAGTTCTTATAATTGAGTCATCCAAAACGAAAGTGCATCTTATTGATATACATAGTAACTTTCAATTTTTTTAAGTTTTTCTTAGTCGTCCTAATATCAAGATTGCTTTCATTTAGATCTGATCCCACTTTATTTATGTACCATTCATTTACTCGAGTGTTACCATGTTTATATTTATTTATGCCCAAAATTCAATCTCTATCATAAGAATAGCTTAGCAAAAGGGGTTTAATAATTAAAGGATAAATAATTTAATTAATAAGGAAGGAAAAAGAGGCATAATAATTTGATAGGCCCACTAAGAATCAAATCAGACTAAAAAGTTGATGGGAGAATGTGAGATCAGAGTATGGGCAACTCCTCTCTCTCTCTCTCTCTCTCTCTCTCTAAATATATATATATATATATATATGTATATATCTCCACATTTTGTACATTAATACTCTTAAATTCATTATAATAATATTTTTTTATATATAACTTTTTATTGTTTAAAGCTTTTCTTCTTTTTATAGACATCTTTTTACCTTTTTTGCCCTTTTACTTATATCTTAGCACTAAAGTTTGATGTATTTGTAGACATATATTAACGTAATTAATTAAGCATTAAAAACTTTGAGATCTGATGTACTGGAAAGATTCCTCCCCTCAAAATAATGGTTTCCATTTGTATATTGGGTTTGTATACAAATAATTAGATTAATATATGAAAAATTAAATTTATAAACCTAAATATATATATTTTTTAAATTGTTAATGGTGATCACTTTAGGTTAAATGCCAACATAATGGATCAAACTGTTGTCCAATAAAATTGATCAAAGAGGTAAAAATAGTCAATTTTGAGTTAAAAAACATGTCATTTGAATCACTCTCAAAGCAGTAAAGTAACAGTAAAAGTAATGTATATAAATGACAGATTACTCTTTACATTTTAGGGTTTTGAAAATGGTAACTTTTCCCTCCCAACGAATCTCTACCTCTCTCTCTCTTTACTCATTAACCTTTTTCTCTCGACTTCCTTCTTCAGGAAGATCTGTTTTTTTTACTAGCGTGAGATCTCATATTAGTTGGAGAAGAGAACAAAGTATTTGCTTATAAGGGCGTGAAAACCTCTCTTTAACATACACATTTTAAAACTGTGAGACTGACGGCGATATGTAACGAACTAAAGCTAACAATGTGTACTAATAGTGGGTTTGAGCTGTGTGAACAAATTAAGAAAGAATTGATTAGATTGTTTGAGTTTAAAATGTTAAAATTGGGAGAAGAAAAAAAGTAAATAAAATGAAGGATGCTTTCTAAAAGTGAGAATCTAAAGAAGAAATTGAAAGGAAAATGATTTAATTAATTAGTTAGGAGTTAATAATTGTTGAGTCGTTGACAAGGCTAGGTGGGTAATTAATAATATTCCAGCATCTGGTTTTTTAGTCTTTTTTGGGGCACAACCCTTAAAAGAAGGGTTTAAAGTAAGAGATTTAAAGGTGGGTTTTTTTCAGAAGAAGACAAAACATTGGAACAAGAGAATATTTGCTTTCTAAAATTTAGGGCACGGCAAAATAAATATTTAAATGCTTAGGGGCCATACCCATACCCTCCTCCTCCCTTCCCTTCTTTTTACACTATTTTATACATCCAAACAAACAATATATTATTATTTTTGACCTATACATTACACAAATATCATTGCCTTCCCTATATCATATTCAAATAAATAATTAATTTTTTAAGTTTTATTAAAACAATAAGTTTACTATATTGTTAAAATTACTTATTTGGTTTATTTGGTACCTAAAGTTTATAGTATTACATACGAGATATGATTTTATTTACATAAAAAATGTAAGTAAATTAAACTTGGATTAAAATGTCATTTTTAGATTCATTCAATTTAAATTTATCTATTTTAAAATTTTTAAAGTTAATTTTTGTATTATCAATAAATATTAAAATTAACCATTAAATATTATTTAAATATTATCAATAAATATTAGTATTTTCTTATTGAATTTTGTATATATTATTATTTAAAAAGATAATATAATATAGAAACTCACAAGGTTAATAGAAAACTAATTATTTTTCTATAAAATTAACCATTAATTAGCGTAGAAATTAACCTTAAGATTTACTAAAGGTATACAAAAACTAAATTTAAATATTTGAAAATATAAGAACTAACATAAAACACGAATGGAAGGATTAAAATGATATTTTATCTTCAACCTTTTTTATTTCTCAATATTAATTATAAAGAAGGAAAAAAAAAACATAGGCATGTTGACAATGTTAAAGTGTCTTTCCTTGACCAGGTTCGGTACAGACATGCTCTACCCCTTGGTTTTTCTTTTTCTTTTCTTTTTCTTACCAAGTTCCAAATAATAATAATAAATAAATAAATAATAATAATAATAATAATAGAAAAAAGGTTTGCTCATTAATGGCAGAAGAGTTAAAAGAAATGGTGGTTCTTAAAAAACAAATCTCCAATGGTGCGGTACACCCCAACAGACATATATAGAGAATAAAGGGCACATCTATGAACACAAGTTTTGTCTTTTTTCCAACCTTAATTATTAAAAAAAAATATATATACATACATTAAATTATATTGTTTTCCCATTTTTCCATTTATATATTAAACAAGTTGACCTTTTAAATTTTTGGTTCATTCATTTGTCTTTTTTTCCTAAATAAAAATGGTTGGATCCAATTCTCTTCTCCAACTTATCTTTATGTGCATTAATAGACAAAATTTAAAGATAAGGTCGGTTTGGGTTTAATTGATCATTACAGTCAATTTTGGCAATTTTTCCTTTGAAGATAAGATTGCTTCTTTTAATTGAGCATCTCAATTTCACTCAAATTTTGCAAATACAACAAGGTGAATGCGATATTTATACATGGATTGAAATATAAAACTCTCTCAACCTTATTTTTTACCCAAAAAGATTACCACTTCTCAAGATTCCCTCCTAAATGTCTTTACCACTTCTCAAGATTCCCTCCTAAATGTCTTTTCATTTTTAATTAATTATTTCTATAGGTTAAGAAGAAAATTTAGGCAGTATGGATCTTTGATATTCTAAATGAAATACCTATTAAAGATATTAGGTACCCTTTTAGGTTTTCTATACTACATTGGGGGAAAAGTTATTATGAAATTCGTACCTTTTGAATCACCAATTACTAGATATCTTCAAAAGATTTCACAACTGCAATTACTAGCAAGTAATATTTCAATTTCTAAGATCATACTCGAAGCACATACTAATTATTAAATAACTAATTGCGTGAGAAAGTTTCTAATGAAAATATAAATAGTGTGAGGAAGGTTCTTGGTGTTGTTTCAATTTTTTGAAAATTTTTATTGATATTTGGGTGATGTTTTTGTTATATTTCGTAGATATTTTTTTTAATGATATAATGGTTACCCTTATGTTGATAGAATTGTAAGACCTTCATCGCTTTGAAAACAATCCTTGGCAAAGAGGTATACACTTGCACATTCCATCCACTGATATGACCATTTATGTATGCGTTTATTTATTTTTGGGCCTATAACAAAACAAAGCCTGTTTTCTTCGTTTGTGGGCCGAAAGGCCGATTCTGGGTCACGTCTAGGGCCCAACACTAACAAAGCGCTTGATTTTCCATTTCGAAGTCCAAATCCAAGAACGATACAGTATACTCTTAAGAAAATTTTCATATAAGCACATTCCTAGCTGGAAATGAAAAGAAACTAGGTTAAGACCCAATCTAGGGATCTATTAGGGCCTAAGGAAAAGATAAATTGGGCAAAATGTCCTTTTCTATAAATTCACAAATCTAAAGCAAAATTGCACACCGTAGGAAGACTAGGATTGCCCCTATGGGGTTTGATATCAAGGATAGTCTAAAACCGCCATGAAGCTTTGAAATTTTCTTTAGGAAAGTGATAAATTTACAAATTTATAAGAGATTCTAAAATCAGAACATAATCATGTCCTAGAAATAATTCAAGGATTACCTTATAATATCATATTTAACTCTAAAAAAGTCTGATATTTTATCTTTCTATACAAGAATATCATAAAACCAAATAAAAATGTCTCTATAACTAAAATCGATAAGAGTACTCTTAAATTGGATCCCATGCAATTAGTTTATAATATTAAGATCAAACCATGCATCCTAAGCAGAGAAAGGGAGAAATGTTGAAGGTGAAATTAGACTATAAGGACAAATATAAAAGACGGTGAAATTAGACTATAAGGACAAATATAAAAGACCGGATCAAATAAGGATAAAATATCCAACACAAAAAGTCAAGGAGGATCAAATAAGGATAAAAATATCCATCACCAAGTACAACTGATTGAAGCATGAAGGAAACTAAACCACTAAACAAAGGAGAGAAGGAAACTAAACCACTAAACAAAGGAGAGAAGGAAACTTGGGTCAAGGCCTAAGTTTCTTGGTTGGAGGCACAAACCGAACGAGTCTTGATCCTTGTTATCCTGGTCTAATTTAATTTTGATCATCTTTTATCCTAATCCAAGAAGTAATCGAGAAAACCCTAATTAAAAGATTATACAAACACTCTTCGCAAGTACAACTAAATCTAAAACTTGGAAATTTTCAAATTTCTAAACTGTCGCTAAGCATCATAATCTATTGTGGCAAGCAACAGATGTCTGCAGATTTTTCTTGTAGACCACGTTCTTGTTCTTTCAAACAAGTTTTACCTTGTTGTAATGTGAATATCAGGTGTGTTCCTGTCCAAATTTACAACACAAGATTTAAGACAAAGCATACAGTATTCCGCTACACTTCACCATTTGCATATCCTTTATATCATTTCTAATCGACATTTATTCGAAGTGAATTGGCTTATCAAAGGAAATAAAAGATAAAATCATGGGCTCTATTCAAAATGCACCATCATTCAATATTCTTATATGGTACTAACCCCGAGATACGTTCTTCCATTCATACGCTAACCAATGGTATAGGCATTAATTCCCTTCGTACAAATATGAACTAATTCATAACATAAGCAAAAACACTTTAGTTATGGAGCAAATTGAAGACTCGTGTTTATGAAAAAATGTTGAACCGAAATGCTTAAAAAAATATCTTTTTGAAAAACGCTTAAACTAAGAGACAATCCAAACAAGCTCTTAATTTGCCACTATTTCTTTCACTATTCTAATATCTTCTTCAATTGCTACTTACTATAAAAGTTGAACCGATAATTAAAACTCCATTCAATATATTTAACATATTCTCAACAAACTCACACGTATGAACTCAAATATTTGCATAAATCAAGCAAATAGACTTTGAAGTCGAGAACTATAGAACTGGAAACTCAAAACTTAATATTCTAATACTTGATCACCAGCAAGTTCAAAAGTTCAAATCAAATATATTAAAGTAAATTCCAGAGCATCGACATGTCCTACTACTCAGAATATGGAGCCACTCAGGCTTAATGTATTTTTTTAGCGTGCAATATTGATAACTTTAAGCATTCCACTATGAACATTGTAACCACAGTTATCCTGAGATGCATTTGATGGGTGTGGGTATTCATACTCATACTCTACAAAAGGATAATAAAAAAAAATTAAAAAAAAAGGGTTCGCACATGCACTAACACAGCCTCAGATAACCAAATCCACGACAAGTATTTACTGACAGTGCAGGTAAAAATAGTAAATAAGAGAATCAAGATCGAGGAAGTTTACATTCACAATCGAGCGACGTATGAATTTGCTTGTGTCACATATCTCACCCACCTATACGGATTATAGGTGTTGGACTTCTTTGCAATCTGCAAGTACTTAACCTGCATGTAAAAGGGAAGATGTTAGCATCTTATAATCGATTATCAAAGGAGATAACTCGATTCTGCTCAGATAACATGCCTGGAGCTTTGAAGCGTTGTACATTGGAATTGTGAAGGTCATACTAACAGGTCCAGATTCTTTCACGATGTTTCCTGCCATAGAAAATATATTTTTTATTCATATATTTATTTCCTAAGAAAAATATCTTGTTCGTCAATGTACAAAATTTACCATGTGATTCTTGTGAAAATGTGAGCCTTGCACGCAAAGTATGTTCAGATCCACCAACAATCTGCCATGTAACGCCTATTAGTAACAATAAGATTAATGCAGACATCTAATGACAAGACAACACGAGATTGGCATTCTGTTATGCTCCCAATAGTTAGGGAGAAAATGAGACTAATAGTGAAAAGGGTAAAAGAAAGGGAAGTTAGTTATGTTGGATTCTCCAGGGTACTTGGTATGGGGGAAGTGATGCACGAGTGAGGCAAGGAGAAATTGTGAGGGTTTTGAAAAGGGAGAGAAGGTGATCCTTCCAAATTGGCCTAGTGAGCGTAATTGAGCTCATAGCTCTCTTTGGCTTGTCGATAACCAAATAATGCAAACTTGATACCTAACACCTTCAGTTAAAATATTTTTTTTTTAAAGGAAACAAATAATTTTTTTGAATTAATGAAAAGGAAGAGGGAAATACCCTAGTATTCCAAAAGGGTTATGTAAAGGCTCTACAATCGGCACATGCATAAGACAAGCCATAAAAATAAGTAATTCTAGGAAAGGAGCTAACTTACAAAGTATTAGTTGACTAGTGTATAAACTGATAATTCCTTAATTAAGTAAAGGAAGTAAAGAGACAAATCATATGCACAGAATAACTTGCCGCTCATGCTCTTGAAAATTATTGATAAACAGAGTTCATTTAAGAGGAAGTTTATAGGAAGTGTCTTGCCTTCTTCAAACCCCATTCAAGCCTCTTGGTCGCTTCTTTAAAATCAGTTGTATTTCCTACTGCTCCAGGTTCCAACTCAAAGCTGACTCTGAAAATGTCATAAATAGAAGAATGATTAAAGCAACGGAGATTATACGACTAAGCTCTAAGAAATGAGTTCAAGCCAAACTAAACCAAACCAAACCCAACCCAACCAAAAATGACAACCATTTACGAATGACCTTTTTCTATGCTACACTACACACACCTTGTCGTGAAAGTTGGCAGTGGCATCTGAACCATAACCGTGTTTGCTGTGATGCTTGAGGCAAATTCAGCACGAACTTTAAGAATTACTTCAGCCTGAAAATTAAAAAGTCCTTTTCAATAACAAAAATCATAAAGAATGTTAACATACAGGAGGGAAGTTATTTCAACCTTAAGGGGGCCTGCTTCTTCAATTAAGGCATTAATACGAAATGGAGGCTTGAATTCCTGAGTCATTCGATAATTCATGACAGGAAATTCACCTTCCGGTGGTACCTTTTAAAATAGAATCAAGAATGAGTCTCAATTCACAAGCAAACTCAAGCAAATAACTTGCGTCCTTTTTTACTAACCAAGACCAAAGTTCTGTCAGAATCAAAATTATCAAGATGCACAGATTCATGAAAATTACAATCATCAAGGATGACTGTTCCTCCACCAGATGAACTGCTATAATCTGTCACCAGAGGTTGAAGCTGGATGAGTCCAAGGAAAATGTAATTGGTTGAGAAAATAGAAAACAATCAAACAAAATAAATATACAAAATAGATATAAACTTTATCTGTGTGTTAGAAGGGAAGGACAGTTCCCAACCCCGTCAGGGGAGATACCAACCATGTCTCCTTTAATTGAACACAAAGATAAAAAGCCTTTATCAACTTAATTTGCTATTTCTATAGAAGAAAATTATAAAGTTTTGGTGCAAATAGACATCAGTCACTTAAAATATCAATAACTAAAAGAAGTCTTAAATTGAAATATGGAGACGGTAATTTATACAACTCCTTTAATCATCCATCATATGTCTTTGTGTAGATAGAACACAATGACGGGAGAGCATCTCATATTAAAAACACACATAAAAACATATACGCATATAGAAGAACAAACAATAAAGAAAACCCATAGAAGATGATAGAATTCACCTTTATTATTAACAAACAAAGGGCATAGAACTTTCACAATCAGAAAATAAAATAAAAATAAAAATAATTCAACCCTTACTTTTTTCTAGCTCCTGTAGAACCTTACAGAACCAATAATCAATAAATATGCCCTAACAGAATACAGAACCAATAAATATGCAGAACCTTACCGTAGATTGACCTTCCACCTCTTCCAATGCTCAAGTCCTCATTAAGAGCAAGTCGAATTTCTGGGTTACCGGTAAGATAGCTCTTCATTTGAATGGTACCATCAATCTCTGAAGTAAGTATATAACCCTGTAGTCAACATAAAATGATTCATTATGAAAACATCGACCCAAAAAATATATATACATTTAGCATGAGTTATAGTTGTTAGATAATTTTCCTTATCCTAATATGATGAGATGCTTGCCAATTGTAGAATTATAAGCTAAAAGCATGATACCATCTAACAAGATGCATCAAAAAAGATTGTAGTCACCAAATTCAAGTTAAGGAATCTCAATTCTCAGAAGTTGGTCTTCTCTCTCATTTTCTCCAAACATGTAGTTCTCATGTCGTCAATGAATGAGTAAAACAATAAGGCTCACAAAACATTTCTACTAGTTCAGAAAGTTTACAATGAAATCATGGAATTCTTGAATTCTCCCAATGCTTTTCTATTGACTCCCACACCTAAGTTTTAAGAAGTAATAGTCTGCCTCAATCACTGACATCTTGTGCTGACAACTGCTCTATCAAGGTAAACTAACCAACTACTGACTTACTCCTACATGCAAACCAAATCATTTAAGTCCAAGCAGGGGCTACCAAAGACGTACTCAGTTATTATGAAGGGTGTATCTTTTATTCACCTAAAAATTTGGAGAAGGCAATGAATAGTCGAGAAAAATGAAGGATTGTCTTTCTAATATTTACTTTGTACATGAGATAGAGAAAACCACATGAAAAAAGTCTCCTTGCTCATTCCAATTCCAGAAGTCAAAACTAAGCAGGCATCAAAAGCTGATGCATAAAAAATTTAAAATACCAGTCAACAGCTCCGCGTTATGCACATTAAAAATTTTCATGTGAATTCTCTGATAAGTTTAACCGAATTGAAGATAACAAAGAAGAATGACTGGAGCTGTACAGAAATAACAGAAAAATACTCACACTTGAGCTGAATGTAACACTAATCTTCTCGATTATGTCAACAAAAATTTCCTCTCTATTTCTACCTCCAGGCTCATTTCCAACCACAGACTTAGTGACAGCCGTACCTGGCATCCGTTTGTTCCCTTGCTTCAAGAGACAAGTAAAGAAAGTCCACTCAAGAAACATTTAAAGCATAAAATTTGAAAAGGATTGTTGCATAGTAAAGGAAATACCACAAAAATGGAAGCCGGACCAAGGGGAGGCAAACGTGCAGCATCAACCACAATTGGCTCATTAAATACATATGACTTCAGAACCTCAGTTGATGTTGTTTGTACATAACCAAAATCCTAATTCCAATTGAAAACCATATAACAGATCATGAGGCTTTTAAAAGAAAAACTTAACCACTGGTCTTAAAATATATGATTTGCGGTGCAATAAGGTAGAGCAAATCGAGCAGTTGGTTCATTAAATCCTGAGAAGGGATAGGGAAAGAATAATAAACTTACAATAACTTCATCCAGCAACTCATACACAAGAACAAAGTTTTTCCTGAGGGAATCTTCATTGAGAACCCCAAGGTAATCTTTGATAACACGTGCAATTCTTTGAAGAAGTTCAAGAACAAGAGAAGGTGATGCATTAATCCTTGTTGTCGCAACAAATAAGAGTCCTACAACCTTCACGTGAAAGTAGTTTACGCCATCCAAATTCTGCAGACAAGGGAAAATGACACCAAAAGAAATGTAAAAATTAAAATATATGAGAAAGAAACCATCTGATCAAAATCTCTCGTTGAGAAGAGAAGTCAATAAATGACACCGATAAACACATAATCCAATATTTTCATGCATAAAACTATTACGTTTGTTATAACAATTATTTCAGCATACATTGCACTCATTCTCCTATTCCGACACACAAAGCCCGTGTCCTGCACAAGCTGGTGGAATGCAGGAAAGATGAACAAAGATATCATACTTTTGATATCGCCATAAACAGTGGTAAAGGTCATTACTGCATATTAAAAAAAATCCTAAAATGGTATCAAAGAATCATTTTAGCATAAATCGTAATCAATGCCTCATCTGAGAGACACGGCTAATAGCCTATAACAAAACCTGGTGGAATGCAGGGAACAAATGCACGAAGATACCGTAGATTGCATACTAACTACGATGCAGAAAGTAGGGAACACGACTGCCTATTGAAGAACTCATAAAATAAGTCTAAAAACCGCTTTTAATTTGGATCTGCAGTCGAAATTATAACAATCAAGTGAGCATGCAGAAGACAATATGCCAGTAGACTACCACGCAGTCAACACATGAAAATACCTACAAAGACAGGTGGCGCATCTCCTTCTCCGTCTTCCTTCCAGAATTTTACTTTTCGGAAAAAGATCTCAGCACTTCCTTTCGGTACTTCGCCACGATCTGCATACATTTAACAATAACCACGACATATTGAAGAATTTTATTCGTCGTATCAAATTGGAGACTAATTTCATGCTCATAAGCTGAAGTAGCACTAATTTCCGATTGCTACGACAGTTCAATACAACAAATTACAAGTTTTATGTTTCCTAAGCCGTCACGCCATTCCGATTCAGAATAGATTACGTGAAAGAAAACAGTACGAAAATTGAAACGAGAACCGATGCAATTCAAAGAAGGGAAAGGGAAGACAACAAAAACACATCAGATCTGGAAAGAAAATTACAATCTCGGAATACAATGTTGTCGCCTCTCTGCGAGAGCACGAAGAACTGCGAAATCATTGCCAAACCTGAGCAACCGTATCGAGCTTATAAAAAATCAGTATCGTCTCCGATTAGCAGACACAGCAGCGCGCGAAGGAACTCAATCGGATGGGAGACTCCCCAAAGAACTCCCTCGGTAAGAAAGTAAACTCGGACCTGCTAGCTGTTTGACACGTCGGTATACATCACGAGGGAATCACGTGAGTGGAAACACAAACTTGGGCCGACAATTTTAAGCCCTATCTTCCTGGCCCATTTTGAACTGTGAGCCCGTGAACTGAACCGTGGTAAAAGTACAAGCCCACAAACTAAACCATGGAAAGTTTGCCAAAACGGTGCCGTTTATATTTTAAATAATAATATTGCAATATAATACTCAAATCTACCGCCCCACTAGAAGAAAAATATATATATTTGATATTTTGAACTTTTTAGCATCCTCAATCCAATGAGAAAAGGATATCATGTAGGGTCTTTTTTTATTTATTATTATTAATAATAAATAAATTTTAAATTATTTATTGAAAATGGGAATGTCAAACTTTGGATTCCGAGGAACAAATCTTGAAAGCATATTAATTTAAAATAAAATAAATAAAAAGTTTGTGATTTCTCTCGTGCTGTATATATGAGTTTACACTTCAGTTAGAGAGAAGAACAAAACATTTTTTTATAAGAGGATAAAAATCTATATCTAATAAACGTGTTTTAAAATAAGTATGAGACGACTGACGATATGTAACAAGCAAAAAGCATATAATGTCTATCAGTGGTGAGAGAAAGTTAGGTGTCGAAAAGAGATGGGATGGTGAGATTGATGGTTGGACGGCAGAGTGACCGACTTTTGCAAAAGCACGAGGTGAGAGCACATTCTCGGAAGTGTACCTTGGTGGATATTTTGCTTCCTTTTTAAGGTACTGTACGTTTTGACCCACATGGACGCCCCTGCTTTCTTTTTGCCATAGCTGGGCTTGGGCTTGCAAAATAGGCGCTGCCTGCATGGGTGAATTCCACTAGTTTCTTTTTTTAAAAAATATAATATTTAATTATATTACTCTATATTTAGATGGATTATGATGTTACCCATTCATTTTTCGGATTTTAAATTTTTTCAAAAATAATGTCAAATAAGTGAATGACACGTGTATGGTGCAAGAGGGAGGAGAGTGGAGTACTAAGAATAACAGAGCCATCGGGTGGAAGGCGACGAGTTGAGTGAAAAACAACAAAGCAGAAGAGAACAAAGCCAAATCGTCGAGGAATATCGGCGGGCCACCCAAATCTCCTGAGTTGTTAGATTATTTTCTTACTTCAACGCGGTTAATTTTAAGCAGTAAAAGAAGAATATACTTTTTTTCGACTACAAATAAGATCCTCGTTAATTAACTCAAATATCTGCGTCCTTCTCAATCCCTTTCACCGTCTCCAAAAATTACAATTCCACCAGCAGCTCCCACCCTTGGGATTGCGACCCTGCAATCTGCACCTCATTTTACGGTTTTGGTGTTCTGAGTGTCTGACTCTGATATCATTTATAACAGCTTGAACAATTTAAGAACTGGAAGTTCAAATAATGTTGTTACAAGCGGAAGAGGAGGGGGTGAGGTATGTAGGGAGATTTGTCGAGTTGTTTATGGCAGTGGAGGGTGATTAAGGTTGGGTCAGTGTCCCATAAGAGAAACAAGTTTTAAAGCCTCTGACCCCTTTGCCTTGTCCTCTACCACTATCTTTTTAGCTTTTCTACACAACAAATGCATACTTGTTACCCACATTTGGTGATATAGATAGTGGGGAAAACCCCTCTTT